AATAAACAGTATAATAGCTAATAAGTATTCGAATAAAAGAATTACTAAAAAGTAATATCCACTAAAAATTGATAAAACTACAAAAAAATTCTAAATAATGCTATAAAAAGGGGCTCTTCTGTACACTAGGTTACAAGTGCGTCACTGTATAATGGATGGTATTAAATTTGAATTCAATGATACAATATCATTGTACAAGAAAAACGATTCTGAGCGGAGACGGTATGACAGTCAAGGTATAAGACATATTATATACTTATCTATGGCACTAAAAAAAATTGACTTTAATAAGTACCTATAATAAATTCCAAATTAATCATATCAGTATATCACAATATTAATTTGGTACTTATAAGTGTTATAACGCGTTATAAATCAACAACAAACCCTGATACTATCATAGATATATAATAGTGTACCTACTTTAGAAGTGTCAAGTACCCACGAATAATATTATACAATCACAACAAAATAACTAAAACAGTTATTCTATGTTTTAGATTCTGATGCTACCCACATACGTAACAAACGACTTGTACTAAATAATCGTCAAAGACAACTTCGCCTCCTCCTATCATCCAAACATCTCTCACTACACAATAAAATCCTCATGTACAAAGTACTCCTCAAACCTATCTGGACCTACGGTATCCAACTCTGGGGTTCAGCCAAAGACCCCAATATAAACCGAATCCAAACATTTCAATCCAAATGCCTCAGGCAGATAACTAAAGCCCCTTTTTATGTTACAAATGATACCCTCCACAGGGACCTCCTCATTCCGACAGTAAAAAACGTCGCCAAAACCCTATATAAAAGTTTCCACCTTAAACTTTCAAATCACCGAAACCCTCTTATCCAAAACCTATCTTCCCGAACAATCCCGGGCGACCCTGGCCGACGTTTAAAGCGTAGCTGGTGCCGTGACCTACTAGTCGACTAGTCCACCATCCCGTTACGAAGTGCTATTAATGAATAGCTTCTCCTTCAAGCCAACTATGAAAAATGCCCTATAATTGTATTTCCCCTCCATTGTGCTTATTGTAATTATATTTTTATACAGATTGTACAAATAAAAACAAATATGACAAAAAAAAAAAAAAAAAGGTGGGCAAGTTGGTGTCGCTCTGCTGTACAGTAGCCAGTAGGTAGGTAGTGGATAGTGGGTAGTGGGTAGTGGGTAGTGGGTCACTGTATAATGGATGATATTAAATTTGAATTCAACGATATAATATCATTGTATAAGAAAAACGATTCTGAGCGGAGACGGTATGTCAGTCTAGACTCTAGGTATAAGACATATTATATAGTATATACATATATCTATGGTACTAAACCAAAATTTGACCTATAATAAGTACCTATAATAAATTCCAAATTAATCATATCACAATATCCATTAGGTACTTATAACTCGTTATACATAAAAAAAAACCGTGATACTATCATAGATATATAATAGTACACTTTAGAAGTTTCAAGTACCCACGAATAATATTATACAATCACAACAAAATAACTAAAATAGTTATTCTAGATTTTTTAATATGTAATATCGTCCAAATTTGAATTTAAAATGTCTGTAAAAAATAACTGTGTTCATATATATTTTTAGATTTTTTGGTTACAGTATGAACTATTTATGAGAACCTTTGTTTTAAATTTGCAATCCTTAGCTATAAAAACTGAACATTTTATAATTTATTAATTACGATGATTGATAATTTTCGAGATTTTGATAAATTTTGTCAAAATTCGATCTTTAAATGCTTATAAAAAAAAATGTTGACTATGTATTTTTAATATTTTTCCACTGATATTGTAACAATATATATCAGGAGCCTTGTATTAAATTTTTACACTTTTTGGCCCAACAGATATAACTTTATTGATATTTATAGAAAAAAAAACTAAAAAAATTACCGTAGATACATGACATTTTTATTGACCGTTTTTATTAGAATTTTCTATACACCATGCCTTTTTTAAAATATTTAGACTTATTTTGAGCTGTTTAGGTACATTTTCAGTTCCAATTTTTTTAGTTTTTTATTCTATAAATATCAATTAAATGTTATTTATTGGTTAAAAAAGCTTGAAAATTTGATAGTGGGCTCCCAGTATTTTGTTTCAAAAGCAGATGAAAAATATTAAAAATCCTTAGTCACAGTTTTTTTTATAAGCATTTAAAGTTAAAAAATTGACTGTTCAAAAAATCTGTTTACAGACATTTACAATTTTCAATTTCTTAATTTTTTTTTTCTATAAATATCAATAAAGTTGTATCTGTTGGGCCAAAAAGTGTAAAAATTTAATACAAGGCTAATGACATAATATTACAATATCAGGTGAAAAATATTAAAAATACAAATGCACAATTTTTTTTTTTTATAAGTATTTAAAGATCAAATTTAAAATTGAATAACTATTTGTAGTTAAAAATGTATAAAATGTTCAACTTTTATATCTAAGGATTTGAAATTTAAACAAGATTCCACGTAAGTAGTTAATTCTGTTACCAAAAATTCTAAAAAAATACAGAATGACAATTTATTTTTATAGTCATTTTAATTTCGAATTTGGACGAAATTACATAAAAAAAAAACATTTTAGTTATTTTGTTGTGATTGTATAATATTATTCGTGGGTACTTGACACTTCTAAAGTACACTATTATATATCTATGATAGTATCAGGGTTTGTTGTTGGTGTATAACGCGTTATAAGTACCTAATGGATATTGTGATATGTTTAATTTGGAATGTATTATATATAATAAACCTATAGGTACCTATTATAGGTCAATTTTTTTTAATACCATATAGATAAGTTTATAATATGTCTTATATACCTAGACTGTCATACCGTCTCCGCTCAGAATCTTTATTCTCATACAATGATATTATATCATTGAATTTAAATTTAATACCATCCATTATACAGTGACCCACTTGTAACCTACTGTACTACAGAGTGATATCCACTGAGCACCTAATTTTTATGTAATTTCATCCAAATTTGAACTTAAAATGACAAAAAAATAAACTGTGCTTATGTATTTTTTAGATTTTTTGGTAACAGAATTACCTACTTACGTCAAATCTTGTTTTAAATTTTCAATCTTGAGATATAAAATTTGAACATTTTATAAATTTTTCACTACAAAATAATTATTCAATTTTAAATTTTATACATTTTGTCGAGATTCGATCTTTAAATGCTTATAAAAAAAAAATTGTGACTATGTATTTTTAATATTTTTCCACTGATATTGTAACAATATATCAGGAGCCTTGTATTACATTTTTACACTTTTTGGCCCATCAGATAAAGCTTTATTGAAATTTTCAAGATTTTTTAACCAACAAATAAAATTTTATTGATATTGTTAGAAAAAAAACTAAAAAAAAATTTTAAATGAAAATGTCCCTAAACAGTTCAAAATAAATCAAACTATTTTGAAAATGTTACTGTGTATAGAAAATGCAAATATAAACAACCAGTGAAAATTTCATGTATCTACAGACATTTGTTTTAAAGTTACACCAAAAACCAAATTCGATTTTGTTAAAAATCGATTTTTCTTAGAAATTCCCGTTTTTCCTTAATTTTTCTTTTGTTTTTCTTGGCGCTTTTGAAAATTACTTTGAGTTTTTAATTTTGACCTCCCAATTCACCGACGATATTTACTTTCCAATCGAACAAGATACTGAAGTTGAAAATCGAAGCATTATTTCGACTACTTTTCGTGTACACAGACACAAAAATTAAAAAATTAAAAAAACACACATCATTGTAAAATCAATAAATTCATCGTTCCACTCAGAATCTAAAATGGAAAAACAGTGAAAATTCAAAGTAAATGTTTCACTAACAGTTTAAAGTATCTGATATTATGTGAAAACGAATTAATATGTACTTTAGTACTTGGAATGCATTGTCTTAGAACACTGCATTTAAATCTCGAATTATACCTTGGGAGACTTTGATATTAATTACCTAATGTTTATGTTATAAAATAACTTGAATTTAACCATTATAGTCTATAGACTATAATAATATAATATTGTAATCTATTTTACAGTTAAGTGACAGACGATGGTTTAATGACAATCAATAGCTGTTAACACACTCGAAGAATAGAAATGATTTATAATTAAAAGTATTTTGTCCAGTAAATTAATGTAAACGATTGCTTCAAATAAACGCATCACTGATAATTTAAATAGTATCATAAATTAATATTTTAAGTAGGACCGTCTTTTGTCGTTAAGTCGTAGTATACGAGTAAAATGTGTCTGTATTTTGTCGCATTGAAGGGCGAATATTTGGTGATCAAATGTCAAAAGTGAAAACATCCTTATAATAATAATAATAATAATTAACTATTATAATTATTATAGTCATTAGTCGGTATGTATAATAATCAAAATAACTGCAGCCCATTGACGTTTATCCTCTGCGTATAATATGTAAATACGGTCGTTACCTATATTATTATATCATATAAATCGAAAGCGGGTCGACGGTCGTTTTTTTCCCGTTTATCTTTTCGTTGTTTTGTTTATAAAAAATACGTACAACTATTACGATATTCTACGGGGATTAGGATACCTATATATTGGGTGCCTATTAAACCTCTGAGCGCGTTAGACTGAGTTTGTGCAATAGGGTTGTACAATACAGTAGGTGGGTACACGCACTGCACGTGTACAGTGTACTTATCATAACACACACACACACACACATATATATATATAATATAATTTTACACATATATATTATGTAGATTATGTACATAACGTACTAAACACAGTAAACACGAAAATAATATTGTACTGTTGTGATTATAGTCTGTTACTGCTTATACCGAAAACCGAATTGCAAGCGCAGCGGCATAATATAATAATAATATTATCGATTGGACACAGTCTATACCGGTGTCACCGTAGTAACCGGACGAATGTTGGTGAAAGCGCGGTGTGTCGCGAGTTTAAACCATGGATGGGGCCAACGCGGACGTTAACATGGCACAGGTCAGAGACTTGCAAGCGTCGCTATTCCCGATTTGTACGAAAGGTACAAACATTATTATTAAATTTTTTTTCAGTAACAATAATAAGCTTCGTGTTAGTAATAATAATAATGAATATAATGATTATGATGTTTCCGATCACACCCGCGTCTGTGCGAAAGATTAATATATTGACGATAGTGCTGTATAATAATATTGTTCTCTCCTAAAACGTTTTTTTTGAACCATTCGCGTTACTTATATAATATCATTATGTTGCATTTTCGTTACATCGCAGGCATGCTCATAATCGCAAATATTACAATATTATTAAAGTTAAAAGTTCAGTTTTATATGTCAAAATTAAAACGTGAAAAAAAGACCAACTCGAAAATTGTCTTACGTAAAATAATACTATTCAACATTTAAATTAAGCCTCGGTAGTACATTACGAACTTGTGTAGGTACCTGCCTACTTTGTATACCTACACTGTGTTTATATGTACTGTATTTAACTTAAACACTTTAAAAATAAATGATCTATATACAGTCACGAACGTATTGATAAAATCTTCGTAAATTAACTACCTATACAAGTACCTAATGGCAAAATATATATTTTTTATTATATAATGTGACAATGTGTATAGTACAGTCTACGAGAAAGACTACACTACAATATAGGTATACTCATCGTACTATTTCGTTCTGTGACAGTATCGCAATAGGTATTATGCATTTATGCTGGTAATATAATATTTTACGTTCTACCTAATTTGCATTTAAGCTATTAATAAATTGTTAACAAACCCCGTGCCGCATATTGATACGATAAAAATTTAATCCTAACGTCGTTACATAATATGCGCCTATATTGTAATAGGTACCTATACTTAATGTTTGTTTCTTGAGTTCGTGACATCACACGATAAAATGTTGTGCAGTATCTTCTCAAACTCAATCAATTTATGTAATACCTAGGTATGACGCTATCATCGTGTACAATATGTTATGTTTTTGATTAATGGCTCGTGTTACATGCCAAAATGCCATTGTTTTAATATTCATATTTCAGTATTAAAACGGAATCAATTTACGAATAAACTTATATCCACTTAAAGTACCTATATCTGTATAGTATTATTCGTCCGAGTTTCTTATGTATTATGTCACGTCGAGTAATAATAATAAATACCTATACATAATATATTATAATAAATGTAACTGCAGTATTTTAAACGAATTCCGATGTCTCGAATGTCGTCGAACATTTACTTTTCAGTACAGATACAGTGATAAGAGGAAGCATTAACCGTTTGATAGAGTTTCGAAATTAATGTTGCTGTAAAAAATACGTTTTCCATATGAGTTTATAACAATTTCGAACACGTTTTATTTGCAGCTTAAGCATACCAGATATAGGTACCTACATTATAGGCTATTTATAAAAATAAGCTATTTTGTCATAATTGATATAGGTGGACTGCTAGGTGGGCTGTCTACATAATAGGTATTATACCTATAAGTTGGTTATATAACATTTAAATAAAAATAATATTGTTGTAAAATTTCGTTTTTCATGACACTTGGGTTTTTATTTTCAAGGGTCATTTTTAAACAATTTACTTAATCGTACATTGAGAAACAGTCAGGTGGATTTAAACGCGGACGGCGACCCGAGGCAGTTAGAATCTAAATTAAGAGACGTCAAAGAAGTTTTTCCGTTGATGAAAGAAGTAGATTGTCCTTACCAAGCTGCGAGATGGCCAATGGAGTGTCAAGTGAGAAAAATAACTATAAAGTATATTATAAATTTAATTACTACCAAGCACTGCAAGTTTAATGATCACAGGATTATACTATTATAGGTATCTAAATTGTAATCCAACGTAGTGCTTTGATACATTTTCCATTTTAGCTATATGTTTTCAATGTGAAATTTTTTAGTGTAACCTATTTAAAACAAACTAATTTAAATTATACATTTTTAATATTTTTATGTCCCGTGGTTGCTTACTATGTTTAGTAGGTACATGAACATATAAAATTATACATTTATACTTATTATTGACTGTGAGTTTTATGAACTGTATATAAAAAATGGTTCATTCTTACGTATCTAACTTAATTTTTCTGGTATTATATTTATGTACATTTGACATTTTATAATATATCTTAATTTTAAAGTTAATTTTTATATGAATTATTATATGTATACCTACGTGCATTAAATTTTAATGAAAAGTCTGGCCGATTTGCCATCTAGTTTTAGTAGGTATAGGTGCATTGTTATTCTTGAAATTCCTTTTATTTTAAGTAACTTTTAGAATTTAAATTAATGCAATCTGTTTAGGTCATAGACGATCCCGTCATTCACGTCCACCCGACGTCTGGGTCTTATTCAGAAAAAGAGCCTCTTTACAAGTTTACAGGCAGAGAAATACAACCAAAACAAGTGGGTGAAGATTCGGGAGAAGTAATATTCAAATATTATCCTATCAGCAGCGTGAACTACGTGAGTTTAAAATTTGTATTAGGTACCTATTACACATAGATTTTTTTTTTCCAACACAAATTCGTTGGCGGATCTCTTGCAATTTACAGTTTTGTCGTTCAGCCGTTGGTGGTAGTGCGTGTACTCAAGCACATAGTAGCCAAGACACATCTGACTTGATTTTTGAATCACGTTTTGAATCCGGTAACCTAGCCAAAGTTGTCAAAATAACCAGTACGTATTATGAATTATCGCTAAGATCAGATATGTATACCAATCGGCACACTCAATGGTTCTATTTTAGAATAGAAAATACAAAAAAAAATATTAAATATAGGTAAGTACCATATTTTGTTAGAATTGGTGAGACATGAGACATAGGTACTTTTACTAAATATAATATGTTAAAGTAGCAATTCTTAAAACTCGAAATTATATAATATACATTATGCATATCATTTAACAAAAAGTAAATATTTGTTTGAAAACTGGATTTATGCAGCTCCATTGTATGATAGGTACATACATTTTCATTTAATATGCTAAATAAAAGCTGCTATAAAGATTATTTTGTTGTAATTTAAAAGAAGGTAAATAACATATTTGCAACATTACTCTTTCTTCACAAATTTTAAGTTCCAACTAAAAATGGCAATAAACATATTAGTTATTATCGTATCTTTAATATTGTGATTTTTTTCATATACCCTTATCGGCCTTGAATTAACACATTATTAATTTTTAGTACCTAGGTAGTTGTTACGTTTTTTTGTGTAGGTAATTGTAAAAATTACAATGTTTCCAAATAAACGGATTATATAGATACAGAATATCGCGGTTTTAACGATACATAGAAAAACTATTTCGTTTTTTTTAATGGAAAAATAAAGGTGGGTACTTTTATGTGATAATAGTATAATTTTCAAAGAAACTATATTGCAGTTAAGAAAAAAAATCAACATATAAAATTAAAAAGACACTATAAATATATTTTATATAATATGAAACAAATCAAACAATGTATAAAGATACATATTAAAAACCTAGTATTTAGAAATGGAAAGTGTAATAAAATAAATTGTTAACAAAATAAATTTAAAATCTAAAATTAACAAAACATATTATCTTGTTCATGCTGGTAATTAGTTATTTAATTAATACCTAATGAAAGAAATTCTTGACATTTTTCTGAAGATGAATTTTTAAATACCTAGGTGTAGGTATGTTGAATTTGATATAGTCTAGTTGACTAGCTAGATCATTGGTTCTCAATTTTTTTTAAGGCAGCCGCTCTCCCGAGAATCAAAATATTTTATATTCTGAATTAAAAAAAAAAAAAAAAAATTAAACAGCAATTAAATTACTAATAAAAATTATATATTTGAATAATGTTGTTTATTAAATAATGGGACCACAAATAATTTAATTTTGATTAGTTAGATGTCTGTAATTGGCAGTTCAGAGCTAGCTTATTCATGCTAGCGAGACAAAAGATATATAGGCGTAAGTCTAGATAAGAGATTAACGGAGTCGAGTAAATTTCTCTTTAGTTTCTAAGTAATTTATAATTTTTATGAGGTATAAATTTAAGAAAGTTAGTACCTATCATTGAAGCTTCTAAAAGCCTCTTGAATCTATAAATAAAACAAGATAAAGGGGAATTTGTTTTTCCATAATTAAATAAAATTATCATGTATAAGACATTATGAAAGAGTAATTAAGTCATATTTCCTTAAGTTTTTGTACTATTTAGGTAAAAGTTTAAGTTGCTGGGGCACCTTATCGATATGATATTTCTTTTTCATCAAATTACGTGATAATGATCGGATTGCCTTTTCACCAAAGCGAACTTTTTATTCAACTCAACTAAGTATTTTGCGTGTTTAGCGCACAACACTACACTGCAATGTATATTATAGTAATATCTCCAATTTAAAATGCTTTACGACTTTACGGTTCGTTATGATAACTCACCTAATGTATTGGCACCATTTTGGGTATCTGCAAAATATGAGCAATCAAGATTCACGTGATATTTAACACTGACGTCACTTCACTCCGTGAACCGAAAAATGTATCCTTTATTGCATATTATGAAAATTCATTATATTTGTCAAAAACTGCGGTATAGGTGACATTTGACCATCCCACAATTATACAGTAGGTATATTCATCCAAAATATCATGGGAGGGGAGGGGAGAAAATAAATGTGAAGGATAAAAAGTAAAAGAAAAATATATCTGAAGGAAAAAATGAACGGAAAATATTATATCTGTGGAAAAAATGTTGGACAATTATTTTCAATACACTGATATTTTCAAAGTATTTTGGTAAATTTTAAACTATAAACAATAAACTATTCATAGCATTCTACACTATGAGTATGGTATTTTCTTATATGATAATAACAATTATATACATTATAATATATAATAATTCCTCCCCAGTCTCCTCCAATTTGAATTTTTAAGGTCGATGCTTAAATGAAGTCTAATCAGGGGTGGATTGACCCAGTTGGAATTCGGAATTTTTCTCGATGGACTGCCCCCTACGCAATAAGCTGTTTTTAATTTTCTTTTATGTATTTAATCACTCTTAAATACAATTTTTGGTAACGAAATAGAAAATAAAAAAAGACCTATCCTCTGCACATTTAATCTCTGGACGCAACTTACCTAGGTAGGTTAGTGGGTAATATTTATATTTTTGGTTGCAAGTGTATGGTATGCACTGTGTATACTGTATACAAAAAAGTTCAAAATATTACTATTTCGCCCCAAAATTTGACGTGTTTGGATCGATAGGTGCAAATAGGTGGGGCTAAGGGGGGACTAAGCGCACTCGTTTTATTTGTTCGCCCCCAAGTTTTTTTTAACCATATTATTTAATTATATTATTTTAATTATCAGGGTTTGTGCTGCCTATGGTTGGAGCAAACAAGAATTTGAATAATCTTATATTATCTATGACTACCATAGTACTAGTACCCTACAGGGCCTACCGATAACATTTAAGTACACTTATAAACATATTACCTATTTGTTAAGTAGTTAAATGCAATTAAGTTCGAATATTGATGCTATTAAATATTTTAGACGAATCCTGAAACTGTGGAAGTTATTGAATATTGATTAGGTATAAACTATTTAATGATATAATAATAAGCATGATAATACATTTACCGTTTTTAACAAAAATCAAGTGTAAATCATAAACTTTATTATGATAATATTTAATCATGCAAATAAAGTTATTTGTATGATTTTTCAGAAACTGTTCCTTCAAATTTTTGTACATAATCAATTACAGTGACTATAGTGAGCACCAATATAATTTATTTGAATATTAACAATGTTGTATAAAAATACTTAAAAAAAGTATTTGAGTACTTAATATTTAATATACTGTTAAAAAATAGTATTTAAAATACTACCAAAAGCATTTTTTTCTTATGTATTTAAAATTTAAGTGTTATACCCGACAATTTTGGGTATTTTTTCTTGAATATTTTGTTCACCAGATATAGCTTTTTTTTGATATCCTTTTTTTTTTTTTTATTTAAAATATAATTACAATCTATACAACAATTTAGTACAATAAGTAATTTAGATATAGTATTTACATAATATCGAGAATAACAGATGGGGGAGGGCACTCAGTAGTGCCACCCGACAGATTAAATTAGAAGGTCTCTAGGCCAGGAGCGTTTTAAACGTCTCTGGGGGTTATCAGGGATTGTTAGAGAAGATATGCGTTTTATTAATGGATGGTAATGTTGGATTAACTTGGAATGAAAGTATAGCTAGACTCCCATTATACAATCATGTACTGATGTACCTAAATATAATAACACGTCTCAAATACTCGCAATTATATTATATACATAAAATAAATATATTAATTAAAAATGGGTACTTATTATTTATTTCAGATTCTCCATAGTCAATATGTATAAGTCTGAAAGTCTTTTCACTGCTGGTATGAAACCATTGTTGTACTCAACAAAGGACGCAAGTCAAAAAAATATGGGCTGGAGACGTTGCGGGGAAAACATTGCATATTACAAGAACGACGCACCGTAATTATTAAATGTTTATAATTTATTTGCGTTCTTCAAAAACACGTTATACATTTGCTCTTATTTCGTCATTGTTTTTGGAATTTTCAGAAATGGTGATAGTGAGGATAACCCACGTTATATATTTTCATTTCTCTTAGAGTTCCCACATGATATGGATACTGTATACCTGGCCTACAACTATCCATACACATATACGAACTTACAAGACTATCTAATAAAACTCAAGGTGATGCCTAGAAGCTGTCATGGCATTTAAGCCACAACTTTATTTTAATTATGATGGTTGAACTTAAACATGTAAATGATATTTTTAGGACGACCCTGTGAAAGCGGTATTTACAAAACTCAGAGTTTTGTGCCGAACATTAGCTGGCAATAATGTGCATTATTTGACTGTAACGGAGCCTTGTCAAGAAGAAGATCCAAAAGTATATTTTAATTATAAATATATTTTATTCTTACTTTAGTATAGACTGTAGTTTTTCCTATGTGTTTTAGCAAAAAAAAGTTATTGTTTTAACAGCACGTGTTCATCCATCCGAAACTCCATCATCTTGGATGATGAAAGGATTTATTGATTTTTTAACTGGTGATTCGTCACAAGCAAAGGTAAATCAACCATAGATAATTATTTTTTATATATATATTACCTTTTAATTTATTTATATTAGGTAAACATAAATATATTTGATTGTAAAATTTATGTTTAGAAGAAAAGAAGTACAATGGGTGTATGTGAAAGTGACGACGATGTATAAAGGGGCAACGAGAGAGTGAATAATGTATGTGGGAAAAACTGAAGACTTAAGTGTAGGTCTGAGCCAGGGTTTAGCGTTGAGTCCTTTCCTGTTGTCCTTATTAGTGGATGGATATTACGAAAGACATATATGATGAGGTTATATGGTGTATGATGTTGTGTTGGTGGGAGAAAGCCTGAAAGAAGTGAACAAGAAACTGAAACAGTGAACAACAGCTCTTGAATTGACTAAGGATTAGTAGGAGTCATAAATAAGGAAATTTGTATATGATTTTTAAGAAAGTAATCTAAAAATAGATAGGGAAAACATATGATTAATACGGATATTGTCGTGTAATAGGTTAAATTACTTAGGGCCGTTAGAACAATATAATGGTGGTTTTGAGGATAATGTCAGGAGTAGGGGCTATAGTTGTATGGATGAAGAGGAGAGAATTGTCAGGCATTTTGTGGGAGCAAGAGGATGCAATTGAGATTAAACAGTAGATTTGTTGTGAGGTCTGTAACGTTTTATGGATGATCGGAATGCTAGACAGCGGACAATCAAATGTAATTGAGGGGGAGTTGAGAATACTAAGATAGATGTGTGGTGTAATTTAAGAGGATATAATAAAGAATTAGCTTCTATTAAGGATAGTAAATGAGTGACACCAATTGTAGATCAAATGATGGATAATAGATAGTCCAGTCCAGTCATGTTATTTATTTATTTGTTTATTTATTTATTTATTATTATATTATACGGGATGGACCCATTTTTGCAAACACGTGTACAGATAACAATGAGCAATTAACATTAATATAGTTGATAATTACATAAATTTAAAACTATGAAAAATTAAATTAAATGAAATGTGAGAACTTAAAATAAAAAAGAAGGTATTGGCGTTCCTCATTAAACGGCGTAAAGGTTCATTTGCGAGGTAATTGGCAGAGGCATGTGGGACATAGAATGGTGCAATGGATCTAGTGAAACGTTGAGGTACCTTGAATTAAAATAACGACAAGAGTTCAGAGCATTCAATAATGCCATCAATGATTCCCTTTGTAAACTTAATGGTTGCAGAGTGTCTACGCTCAGCTAAGGAAGAAAGATTTAATTTACTGGCCACAATGCTATAATCATGAGGTAGACAGGGTATTTAGAGTATCTATCATTAAGATAAAACTTAAACCAATACATGAGGAGATTTGATTCAGATGCAGTGACAGTGATTATGGAAATATATATAAAAGGAAAGATAGGTAGAGGAAGACCAATGAACACTAACCTAGCTAACCTAACCTAACCTATGAGGGTCTACACCAACTTAACCACTATACTTTTTTAAACAAAACAATTTTTTATAGGAATTACGGAATCGTTTTATTTTTAAATTGATACCAATGTTGAACCCAGACGGCGTGGTAGTTGGTAATAGTAGATGTTCATTAAATGGACGGGACTTAAATCGGCAATATCGTAGCGTTATTCGAGACGCCCATCCAGTTATTTGGCATACAAAACTTATGCTTCGCAGGTATTTATTGTTTATGAATAATATTATAATGTATTTATGTACCTACATATTATAATTCATATTTAACCCACAGTGTGATTATTTTGTTTTAACAGTAAACTTAAAACAACAGGGTAGCAACATATTAAATAGGCACATTTTCCTCACTACTAGTAAATTTTTATGAATTATGATAGATGCCTGTGAGCAAAGGTAGATAAAAGGTGGACTTTATTGGCTAAATTATTTTCCCCTTAGATTCTATTTCAACATTTCTTTCTAGTTTATATTTTTAGTGAATTTAGGAAAAAGGTGTATTACTTATTTCTAACAGTAGCTATCTACAATGTTTTATTTTTACTCTAATTTTCTTCTTCTGCTGGAATGTAGTACTCTTTGAACGTTGTTGCTGGCATCACAATTTCCTTCCACTACTCCATCCTGGACTAGCGTCTTTCATTCTCACACTTATAATTTATTGAGATCTCCTTATATTCTATCTTTCCACCTCTGTGTGTGTGTATGTAGGTACTGTACTTGATTATTGTTTTACCCTTTCCGATTTCTAAACGTTTCCGAAAATCAATTGCACCGAATACTAATGGATATCGGGCAATCTTGAACATTTTCGTTTTTATTTCAGCAATATCTTATATATGAATTTTTAAAAATTAATTACTCAATCCTGCAATAGCATACTTAACATTGTGGAAGTTAACATATCTGCTTGCGGAAGATACACTTACATCAAACATATCTGCCACTGATATAAGCATAGTCCCCAGAGCATAAAAGGGTAGTGTAAGTACTAAGTAGTACTTGATTCATTGGGGTTAATGCCATATTCCTAAAAACAAAATATTTCATAGGTATTACTGTATTAAGCTTTCAGGTATTAGCCATTAGGTATATTCATTACAAACAGTTAGGTTATTAATATTAATAATATTTACATGTCAGTAGCCATCTCCAATTTTCCTGCAAGTACATTTAACAGGTAATTTACACAACTTTTTGAAACACGAAATCTATAGATAAATTCATCATCTGTCAAAATATCGTAATAGTTTGGACTATATTTGTACACTTGAGGTCTTCTTCGGCCAATGTTATTTATGCCATCAATAAACTCAATCAAATTATTTATATTATTCAAATAAATCATTTTAAATCAAATAATTATCAAAAATATAAAATAAATGCACTGTACAATTTATGATGCGGAGTATATAAATACCTATCACTGGTGATAGAAAATTATCACAATAATGAATCAGCAAAGTTCAAAATTATAAATATTAGGTAGATACCTTTATGGATTCTTTCAGCTAGTTACATTAACGGTAACTAAAACTGCAGGCTAAATTAAGTGACCGTTAACTCATAGTTAGCTGTAACATTTTACTTAACGGAGCATTTTAATAACGGAATATTGAAAAGTGGCCGCTAAATGTGTCCGCCACGTTAGCGTAGACCTTAGCAGGACATTGTAATAACGGCGTTTAATATAATATGCTTAGTAGCATAGGCTGACAGACGGTTTTCGCTCAGAATACTTTTTCATTTACAATGATTTTGAAGCATTGGATTTATATTTAACACATCCATTACAGTGACCCCACACGACAACTAATGTACACCAGAGTAGTACCCACTTTTTTAAATTATAATCAGGTATATGCTGTACATTATTATTGGATAGAATTATCTAAATCCTAAATTAATTTTAGATAATGTGACTTATATTTGTATGGTTGTATAGTACTTATTACAGTTTTTTTCTCAAAATAAAAAAGTTTTAAAATCTGATGACTTATAATCTGAGCTAAATGTGGGAAAAATTCTAGGGGTTAATAATATGTCTCCATATGTTTCAAGCATTCCATATATTATTATTATTTTATGTATAATATAATATTCATGTAATATTTTTGTTTTAAGATTAATTGAAGAACGCCAAGTAGTGATGTTCTGCGATTTACATGCACACTCGAGGAAGTCGAACATTTTCATGTATGGATGCGAAGGAAAAGGCCACGAAGGGAGAAAACTGCAGGAGCAAATATTTCCACTCTTGTTGCACAAAAACGCTCCAGAAAAAGTATATTAGTTGTATATTCCAGAGAAAAGAAACGGAAACTAATGTAATTTATTCTGTTATATTTGCTTCGTTTACGCCGCAGTTTTCATTCGAAGATTGCAATTTCAACATTCAGCGTTCAAAGGAAAACACAGCTCGTGTAGTCGTTTGGCTGATGGGCGTCGAGAATAGTTACACAATGGAAGCTTCATTTTGCGGTTCGTCTCTCGGTTCTCGAGCTAACACTCATCTCGGTATCAAAGACTTTGAAGATATCGGACAGACGTTTTGTGAAACCTTGTTGGACTATTATAACGAGGATCCCCGAAATGTTTGTTACTTGACTTTTATTTTTAAATATGAATATTATATTTTGCATTTACCAAATATTATATATTTCATAATAACTAAAATAATTGCTGTCGATTTTATTTTCATTTATAGGAAAGAATGAAACTGAAAATATGCAGCCGACTAATGGAACAGGGCTCCAATGCAGAACAACCAAAAAATATAGATATATCAGATTATTCGAGGTAAAAATTACGAAAATACAGTGTGATTCAACAAGCATGCTCGCCTTCCTTTTTTTTTTAATAATGCATTTATTCAAAATCTGATTTTTGGAATCTTTAAATATGCTTAAAAACGATATTTAAAAATTATTGATATTTTCTATACCATTTGATTATTTACTTAACTCGCATAATACATATTTAGTGTGATATCCAGTAAACTATCTAAATAATTAATAAGTAACTAATAACTATATAGACCAATGGTTATCAACCTTACTACCGTGATGCGTGTCTCCAAAAATATTGTTTATTTATATTTTATATGTTAAAAGTATAAATAATATTTGATATTATGGCATTATGACGTGATGGTAAAAACCACAGATAAGGAAAACAATTGTGAAGATTATCTCATACACATTCTCAAGTTTCTCAACTAATATATAGGTTAGTAACCTATATACTATAGGTTTATAATTGTTACTTTTTCAAAAATTCATTAAGACAAATGTCGAAAATTAAATTTTAAATGTTTATATCTTCAATTGTTAGTTATTTTTAAACGATAAATAGGTATAGATTCTGGGAAAATTCAAACTAAAGTACCTAAATATTGATATTTACATACCTATATAAGTGTATATACTAACCTAGGTATATATAACCTTATATAAAATCAAAATTACTAGGTACCAATTAAAGATAACTTTTAAAATGCTCGTTCAATTCGTTATATCTATCATGTTGTTTATATATCATTTACGTTTGCATGTTTAGCGATGAGAGCTCATCGAGTGTATGCGAAGAAATCGTTGACAAGTTGAGTTTTGAAGACGACGCCACATCTCTGACTCAACTATCAATTATTGTACCACCTAGTACACCAGTTGTGCCGAAACGAAAATCACGAAAAAAAAAAAGAAAATCAAAAGATTGTAGTACGAAAATTATTACGCTGTAATGCCATTTGGCTGTTGTAATTACCTACTTGTTAAGCCCACAACATTCTAATCAGTAACATTTATGTACAGGGTAATCTATTTAATGCTCTAATTATTAATTAGATATGTTGAATAATTTAATGATATTTTCAGATAGGTAGATGAAATTCTATAATCTATATATACTCAATATAATTATGCCCTATTCATTGTTACAGTAGATACAACGAAAATTGTAATAAAAAAAAAAGTTGTAAGTAATACAGTTTTCATTTTTTCTTTTTTTCTTTTGGTTCTGAGCGTTTTTCATAACATCTAAGCTTATATTTTTTCTGAAAATATTTATTCATTAATTCTTAGTTTGAAATAAATATTTAATATACATAATCATTTTATAATTCAATAATTGGAGTGGGATTCAAATGTAATTATTTCTAATCACTAAACTGCCTACCTATATACTCCTAGAAATTTTAAATGCGAATGATGTTAGTTGTATAAACATGTAACTAATACGTGATCCCTATTTGTTTAATAATTATTAACCTAATAAAATACATTTAAAAATGTCAGAAAAATATATTGTAGCACAGTTCTCAATAGAAAATATTTATTATTTATTAAATTTTCTTTGTTATGTTAAAAATCAATTTAATGAGATATTTTATTACTAAAATTAAAATCATTTTTTAAAAATATTTAGTAAAAATAATACAAAATTAATTAACATTCTGAAAAAGTTCATTCCTGACGTTAAAAATATCACTCTGTATAAAAACTTTCTAGAAAATAATGTTTGTTAAATATGGTTCAACATTCCATAAAAAAATTAATTCAAATAATGATTTAAAAATGTATGTTAACAGTAATAGCATAATTCATTATTGCATTTGTTAAGCAATTACTGCCATTGAAAATCTATGTTTTTCAAATATCAATATACTAATAAGCACTATATGTCAATAAAAAAAGACATACAATTTTATACTTAATTTTATATCACGAACATATTCATTTATTTATCTAAATTAATTAATTTGGATAAATTGGATTTATTGTAAATTAAGACATCATGTATAGTAATTTATTTAAGATAATACAACTAATGACCTCTTTTTATTTATCTAGCTGATTTTAGATAATGCTCAACACTGTACCAATAATAAAATAAATATACTCAGTGCTTAAATTGGAAGACACAGAGTTACTTAATAATTTTCCTTACTTCTGTCAGTTATTAAAATTGTTTTAATTTTCTTCGAAATATGGGAATTTTGTAATTAAGGGGCCTGCGTGCGACCTGTTTTTTTGCTCAAAAACATGCCTTACAGGAAAAACTTTCTCGATCTCATAGATTTTCAAAATTATTTTTCCAAATTTAATATTACAAGTTTAAATTTAATCCACTTTTACAACTTTTTAGTTTTTGTATTATTATTTGTTTTTAGCAACGTAATCAAACATCGAAGTCCAATGCGCCCTGTAAAAAATATTCTTCTATCTGACAAGAAAAAAATTACGGAAATCGGAAAAAATTTACTAGGTGTGAGAGTTTTTCCTGTAAAGTGTGTTTTGATCGATATAATACACAATATCAACCCCCCCCCTAAATAGGTATTGGGTAATAGATTAGTAAAAAAGTATTATAATTTAGGTGGCAACTAAAACATAAAATTTAATTTTCGAATTTTATAGAATTGCGGAACATTTGAAAATTCACGACCAGGCCCCTTAAGATAATAATTAACTTATAAAACTTTTTTTTAAATTTCCTTTTTGTCTTTGATAAAATAATATTTGTAACTTGGTAATACCTATATCTATGATTATTTTATTCATTGAACTGTGTTTTTTAGTGTGTAAGTGTGTCAAGAATATCAAATAAATTAACAACAAAATATTTTTTTAAAAATGAGCTCATCCTTTATTTGTGTACAAAGCTTTATTATTAGTATAATAAGTAGTGTGTTATTTGATGTTTTATTATTAAACAAAATATAACAAATTATAAGGGATGTTTTTTTTTAAATGCCCTATAACTGTTGAAAGTTATACAAAACTTAATTATATACTTTACATTGGTTATCACTTAGCATAAATAAGTATGACATGGGACTTTCACATGATTGAGCATAAAGTACCTTTTTACGACAGGGTTGAGCTAATTTGTCTGCGTACGTAAAGATTACCCATATTTAAAAAAAAAAAAATTCTTCAAGTTACTATTCACCATACACAAAAATTCTAATTTAAAATTAGAATATGTTTATCTTGCATGTTGGAATATCAGTACTTGGGATTTTGGAAAGTAGGTACCTACTTTTGAAAAATGAATCATAATTTAATGATAACATTGATAACATTAGCTTAATTCTAAAAAATAAAAATTATGTTCTTGTTCTTAACTTGAAAACATGAATCATAAAATCCAACTTGTAAACTTAGGGCTGGTCCACACTATTTACTGGTAATAATTCGTATTTGTCTATATCTCTAGATTTTTTTTGTTAAAGGTAATAAAACTTACGGAATCTTGTATTAAGTTTTAAAATTATCTTAGATATATATTGATAATTTTTTATGAATTTTCAATTTTTCGTGATTTTGACGAGTTTTGTCAAAACTCTTACTACAGGTGCTTATCAAAAAATATCCTGGGTTTACGCTCATTTTAATTTTGTATTTCTACTAACAACAACTTATCAGGAAACTTAAAATTTTTTTTATCAACGATAGATAAAAAGAAACTAATACAATTTGAATTTTTCGTTTGCATATATATGTATATAGCTCAAAAAGAGTCAACATATTTTTTAAATTGTGTAGGGTATAAATAATTCTAATATAAATATTCAGCCTGTTAGTGTTCGATAGACATCCTTGAAACACGTGTGTTTGTCTCAACTACATTTTATAGCTTTCGATATCAAATTAATCTAATCGGCGTCCAGCAGGTAATGTGTTTTAATTATTGTATAACATCTATTTACCGTGTTTATTCTAGTAATAAATAACAACACAAAAGGCAACAGGTCCGAAATGTGCAAAAACTCTATAACCCATCCTTCAAACGTTTATAAATTTACCAATGAATGACACATTATCTGTGTCACTGAATGTCATCACCAAACATTCCAAAATCAAAAATCTCTTCGGTTCCTCAATCGACCACAAGGATCGCGGATACCATTCAAAGTACTTTTCCCCACTCCACGGCAGACACCACCCATACAACATTTGGGAAATTATAATCGTACTTTGTGAATATTTTAAAGTGTATGAATATTGAATATTTTATAAATATTTTCTTTTTATGATAACAAAATATTGTACGAAAATATGATTGCATAAAAATGTCTTTTGGTTCTGAGCGTTTTTCATAACATCTAAGCTTATATTTTTTCTGAAAATATTTATTCATTAATTCTTAGTTTGAAATAAATATTTAATATACATAATTATTTTATAATTCAATAATTGGATTGGGATTCAAATGTAATTATTTCTAATCAAGTTATTTTAATAAAGTTTCCTTAAAAATGTTTTTTGAAAATATATGATTAAAATGTCTTGTAAATGTTTTTTTATAATATATTTTCAAAAATATGAACTTCTTTGCCAAAGAAAATAACTTAAATATTTTCTAACTATTTAAGCAACTTTTTAAAATATTTTGACAACTATTTTCCTGAAAACATTTTTACCATAGCTAGCAAATATTTGTATGCTGCGTGGGCAGCAATGTATCATCAAGCACCGATATCAATAGTTAATACTACTCCCACTCCTTAGTCCTCACAAGTTTAGAGTTGTACCCCACTTGCTATCTGCAAGTTTCAGTATTAGGTTCTTTCTTGTTTCAACTTTCATTTTAGTTTTCTTACACTGCTCTTTGAACGTGAGAGTTCTGTCCAGTAAACCCATAGGTAAACTGGGTATTCTGTATTTCCCAATAGTTCTCCAAGATAATTCAACTTTTAGTTCTCTTTTTGCCTTTCAGTTTCGGAGGTGGAAGCTGCATAAATGTGTTTTATCTGGATTGGGTCTTAGTTTGTTTTTTATGTAAAAATTTGTTAATTCTTGAAGTGGTCTGGTAAGTTTACGTTCGACTATTTGGCAGGTTGTATCCTGCGCTGCTAGGTCTAAGTAATCTGCATATAAGAAATGTTTTGTTTCTTTAATGATAGGTTGGTCGTTGGTGAATATGTTAAATAACATATGTGCTAATACACTACTTTGGAGTAATCCATTTCGCTGGTTTCTCCATCTACTCCATTTGATATTTAGTGTGACTATAAAACGCCGATTGTGTAACATAGAAAATATTATTTGGACAAGGTGCCAGTCACTTGTGCATTCGTATATATTTTTAATTAGAAGATAATGGTTCACCGTATCGTACGCTGCGGATAGGTCTACAAAAACCAGCCATGTTACTTTTTTGTTCTCGTAGCCGTCCTCTATATGTTGGCACAGGTTTAAAACCTGTCCCGTAAAGTTTTTGCCTGGCCTAAGACCAGCTTGCTAAGGAATGAGTTTTCTTTCGAATTGGTACTTGATACGATTCGTGATAATACGTGCATACAGTTTATAGGTATGAAATAGCAAAGATATCTGGCTGTAATGTTTTGTGTTTTTGTAATCTTAGCCTGGTTTAGGCAGTGCCACTATTTTTGCCTTTCTAATAATTTTGAGTACTAAGGCCTTGTCGTGGTATGAGTTTAGAAAAGTTAGTAACCATTGTTTAGATTTTATGATGAATTCTTTTATTTGTTTTGTCATTATTTTGTCTACCACTGGTGCCTTTTCATTTGTCATCTCCTTCAGGCTCTCATTTAGTTCATCAAGAGAAAAATTAAGCTGGAAATTATTTTGCTCAGTGTCTAAGGTTCTAATGATTTTTTCTCTTTAAATTTTTGCCACCCTGGTTTACCGTTTAAGAATAGCAGTGTGGCTACTTGATTAGCTGTTACGTTTATATTGTTAGTGTGGGTAACTGGGTCCCCATTTAGCCAATTAA